TTTCTCGCTTTCTGTCTCTCTGTCTCTCTGTCTTTCTGGCAAGTGCATGCGCCCTACAGTGAAAATCTCTCCAGCAAAAAAAAAAAAAAAAAAAAAAAAAAAGAATGAATCCAGCAGGATTGGAGTGGAGAACCAGTCTCCCACAAGCCCTTTAGAAATGTGTAGAAATGGGGCCAGCAGGTGGCATGGTGGTTAAGGCACTGGCTTCCCATGTGGCTAACTGTGGTTCAAATCCTGGACCTGGTTGCTTGCTTTCTCTCTCTCTGTCTCTTTAGTGAGCACATATGCCCTATAGTAAAAATTTTAATAAATAATAATTAATAAAACTAAATGAATTCTTTAAAAAAAAAAACAGCCATTTAAAAGAAAGAAAGGAAGAAAGAAATGTGCAGAAATCAAATTAGCAGGTGGTATAGTGAGTGGGGCGCTGGACTCTCATATGGATAAACACAGTTCAAGTCCTGGATCTGGTGGCTTGTTTTACCACTTTCTCTCTCTCTCTCTCCCCCTCTCTCTCTCTCTCTCCCTCTCTGGTCAAATTAAGATAAATAAATAAATAAATAAGTTAAATTAAATTATTCTTTTTTTAAAAAAAAAAAAAAAGGGAATTTGCAGAAATCTTAGAGAGGACAAGAATCTATCCTTAATCCATGAAAGGGAGATCGTAAGCAATTCTATTTGGATCTAAATGAACAGGATGTCTCCACCAAAAATGTGGATTACAGAAATGTCTGAAACTATTTCCTTGAAGTGTAATTACTAATCCAAGACTATGGACTTCTTTTTTTAAGTATTTGACAAATAATGTTAAATTTCTTCATGATAAAAAGTTCAAGCAGATGGAACTAGCAGGTGGTGTGAAGGTTAAGGTGCTGAATCCTACATGGCCAGTGAATACACAGTTCAAGTCCCAGACCCAGTGGCTTGAAAATCACATCAGGCGGGAACCAGCAGTTAGCGTAATGGCTATGGCGCTGGACTCCCACGTGGTCGACCGCAGTTCGCGTCCCGGACCCGGTGGCTTAAAACTGACGCCGGCGCGTGTGCGTGCGTGCCCAAGATCCCGAGAGGAGAATGGAGGAGAGGGGATTGCGGCGTGACCATCCCCTCTGGGGGGTGATTTCTCGCTTTCTGTCTCTATGTCTCTCTTCTCTGGCGGTCTGGCGAGTTCACGCGCCCTATAACGAAAACCTCTCAAAAGAAAAAAAAAAAAGAATTAAAAAAATCACATCAGGCATATGTGCATGTGTGCCCAAAATGTGATTATTTCTTACTTCCCCCCCCCTCAAGTTTTTTTTTTTTTTTTTTTTTGGAGATTTCGCTATAGGGTGCATGCGCTCGCCAGACAGACAGAGAGAGACATAGAGACAGAGAGCGAGAAATCACCCCCCAGGGGGGATGGTCACGCCACAATCCCTTCTCCTCCATTCTCCTCTCGGGATCTTGGGCACGCGCTTGGTGTGAGTTCTAAGCCACCAGGTCTGGGACACGAACCGCGGTCGACTACGTGGGAGTCCAGCGACATAGCCATTACACTAACTGCTGGTTCCCTCTCTTTTCAAGTTTTTGCAAAAGAACTTTCCAGAGAGAGAGAGACTGTGAAAGGAAAAGTGAGAAATCACCCCCCAGGAGAGATGGCCAACCACAGTCCCTCCTCCCTCATTCTCCTGGGATTTCTGGAATGCATGCACACGTGCCAGGCATGATTTTCAAGCGGCCAGGTCCAGGATTGGAACCACACTCAGCCATGTGGGAATCCAGTGCTTTAACCGCCACACCACCTGCTGGCTGCCACCCCCCCTTCTCTCTCTCTCACTTTGTCTCTTTCTGGTGAGTGTACATGCCCTACAGCAAAGACAAAAAGAAAACAGAAAGAAATGGGAGCAAGTACAGTGGGGTCAGTTGCAAAGAGGGGAGAGTCCTCAAGAGGGAGAAGACAACTTTGGGGGTAAGGCTTTAGACCAGTCTTGGAAATTGATGTTTATTTTTGAAATTAAGGCCAATAGCTTTTGATGGAAACTTTGCGTTTTGTGAGCCCCCAGTAAGCCCATAACAGTCCTCATGGGGATCACCACCAAGTGAAGGTGAAGGTGAAGAAGCAGGTGCTGGCCTTGCCCCAGATCACCTTCTCTTCGTAGCGATCATAATGTACCTTGTACCCCTGAGCCTCAATGTCCATCTTCACGCAGTCCATGAGATCCTGGACTTTCGGGGGAGCCTTCCAGGGCCCGAACTTGACCACCGATGTCTTTCCAGCCTCCAGGGTATGCAGGAGCTCTGCGCACCGCGCGTCGTCCTCATCGGTGCGCACCGCGCATACCACCACGCTGGAACTGCGCGCCGCCACTGCTTCCGCTCGCGCCAAGCGCACCAGCAGCTCCAAGCTTTCGCTATAGCCCGGCACTCGCAGCGTAAACTGCTTCCGCGCCACCTGCTCGCCAAAGATCTGCGGCGTGTCTTCCAGGAGCTTGACCAGAGGATTGATGTTGTAGAACTGAGCCTCGCGGTACACCTCGGGAATGTGCGCTGTGGGCAGCTGTCCGTTGCGCAGGTAGTCCAGGATGGGCCCAAAGTAGGTGCCGGGGCGATCGATAAAGAAGCGACCCTTCCGGTCCGTGTAAACCTTGGACGAGCCGGAGACCATATTGGCCAATATGGTACCCGGGATTTTTTTCAGGGTGCCCACGGTGGTCACGTAGACATCACCCCCCACGTTCAACTCCACAACAGTGGATACCTGGGGACACAAAGTGGCAGAGAGAACCGACAATGCCATCTCCAGGGAGCTCGAGGCTTATGTTATCCAAAGAATGCTGTGGTTAGAACATAAAGAGGCCCGAGGACAGGCTCCAGCGATACTGGAAGGCCCGTCTCAGGTAAAGGTTACACTTAGCTGTAAAGCTAAAAACATCTCATTTTGAGATATGAATACCCATTTGTGCAATGTTGTTTTTTTTTTTAAGAGAGACAAAGAAAATGAGAAACACTCCCCAAGAGAGATGACCACTCCACAATCCTCTCTCCTCGAAGTATTTAGAGCAAGCACAGGTGCTCAGAGTGCTTTTCAAGCCACTAGGTCAGGGACTTCAACCACTCCGTTGGTCATGTGGTTCCAGCCACCTTAACCTACAGTTACCTGCTACCTCCCCATTGATGAATTTTAACTTTCTCATTTAGGTCAGAAACCTTAGAAGAGACTGCCATAGAAGGAAATCCCAACGACAACATTTCCCAAGTCTGTGTGGTCTTTGACAAGATAGTTTTCCCTTCCTAGGCCTCAGATTCCTCATCTTTAAAACGGAGCTGTTGATGGGGTCAGCAGGTAATATTGTGGTTAAGGTACTGGACTGCCACATGGCTGACCATGGTTTGAATCCCAGTCCTGGTGGCTTGCTTTCTCACTCTCTCTTTCTCTGGTAAGTGCAAATGTCCTATAGCAAATTTTTTAAAACAATAGTAATAAATTAAATAAGTGATTTTTCTTTTTTCTTTTTTTAATTTTTTTTAGAGAGATTGATATAGGATGTGTGTACTCACCAGGAGAGACAGAGACAGAAAGAGAGAAATCATCCCCCGGGGGGGTTAGCCACTCTGCAATCCCTTCTCCTCCATTCTCCTCTTGGGATTTCAGGCATGCACGTACACGTGCCTAGCGTGAATTTTAAGCTGCTGGGTCCAGGACTCGAACCATGGCCAACTACATGACAGTCCATCAACAAAACCATTACATCATCAACTGGTCCCAAATAAATGATTCTTTAAAAAAAAAAAAATTAAAAATGGAGCTGTTGGGGCCAGCAGGTAGCCTGGTGATTGAAGTGCTGGATTTCTACCTGGCCAACTGTGGTTTATGTCCCAGACTTGGCAGCTTGTAAATCACAACAAATAAATGGATAAGTAAATAAATGTTTAAAAATAAATAAAATAAAATGCAGCTGTTGTGAAGTCAAGCATTCCCAATCTGGGAGGCTCAGATCTAAGACAGTGTAAAAAGGGAGGAACATTTTCAACCTTTCAAAAAGGCTAAAATGTGCTAAATGATGTATGTGCTCATCAGAGAGAAACAGAAAGAGGGAGAGGAGAAAGCATCCCTGCAGTGAACAGTCACACTGCAGTTCCTTCTCCATCTCCCCTTCCTGTGAGCTTCTGGGCAGCACGCACATATGCCTGGTGTATCTCTCAAACCACTGGATCAGGGACTCAAACTGTGTGGTCAGCCATGTGGAATTTTCTGCCTTAATCACCAGGCCATAGAGTTCATCCTCTCAGTTACCTTTAACCTCCACATCCTCCACTCTTCACTCCGTTAGTGACTCATTCATTCAATGTATGGATGCCCTGTTCCACACGAGTCCTGTGCTAAGCAGAGGAACAGGACGGTCTGCATTCAAGGAGCTCACATGGGAGGGAGGGAAACACACAACTCAGATACGGAGGTGCTGAGAGGGCAGACTCAAAGGTCGAAAGTATCAGCCCTTCTGATGGACGTATGTTGGAGGTTGTCAGAGTGTTCCCTAGGGTTGTGATGGTGGCTGCTGCAGAAAAGCTGTGTAGTGTTCGAGGGAAGGCTGGGTTTCCAGCCTCAGATTCTACCAGAGGTCATTGCAGGGCTAGTGATGGGGCCAGGGCTTCAGAGCGTCCTTCAGTCTGATTTAAGGGTGACCTCATTCTCCTCTGGCTTGTGGGCGCCACCTCTAAGATTAAAGTACTGGATTTAAGATAGCCAAAGGCAGCTCAAGTGCTGTGGGGAATAACTCAGTTGCCATGGCAACAGCTCCTGCCAGGGCACAGTCCTGGGGGCTGGAGGGAGGAAGGCAGAGGAGGGGATGCTTCCTGACAGCAGACAAACAATGCAGCTGAGAAAAATAAGCCCAGAACCTGGGAGTCTTCCTTTCTCCCATAAACCTCAAGGCCCCTTTAGCCCGACTGTTTGGGTAACCCTGAGGTCACCTCTGTAAAGCTACATTGCAGACTTTAACTCTTGAATGCACCAATGTGCTGTCATTACTCCTGTACCATGGAAAGCTCACAGGTCCTCCTAATGACTCCAGCTTACAAGCACGGAAAAGTGCAGCACCGAACAGTGAGGAAGTGATAACGATGGCGCTGGGACCAAACCCATACCAGTTTGACTTCTGTACAACATGGGTGCCCCACCCTCACCCCTCCGGATACACTACTCACAATGCCAATACTTAACTGTGTGCCTAGGGCAGTTCTCTTTCCTTCTCTGGGCCTAATCTTAGGAGGCAAAATAGACTAAGAGAACTCAAAGTCCCTCCAGCTCTGCAGCTCTAAGGAGGTCAATCACTGCAAATGTCCTGTCTGAAACTAATGTTTAGATATTTCCAAAAACAGCCCCCTGATGTAGCAGTAATGTGATGTTCCTCAATGCTGAAGTTGTATGGGAAAGTCCTGGGTTCATGTCCCAAGGTCTCCCTGTGCACACACTGGGTGCACATGCCTGTAATCCTGGCTGGCTGAGGCTGGGGGTAGATTGTGGCATGAAGACCCGTGGAGGGCATCACGCTCTCCCTCTCTCTCTCGCTCTCAAGAAATTATAAAATATAGTTTTTTTAAAAATTACATCCTGGGCCAGCAGGTGGCATGGCAATTAAGGCAGTTGAATTCCCACATGGTCGACTGCCTTTTGAGTCCTGGACCGGACCTGGTGGCTTGAAAATCATGCTGGGTGCATGTGAATGCATGCCCCAAATCCAGAGAGGAACATGGAGGAGAAGGGATTGGGGCATAGCCATCTTCCCTGGAGGGCAATGTCTCATTCTTCTTCTGTGTCTCTCTCCTCTCTGGCGAAAACATACATCCTATTGCAAAAGCTTTTTTAAAAAAATTACTTCCTATTCAGCCCCTTTCCGCCAATCTCCTGGAAGGGGAGAAAGACTGAGGATTAAGCTGATCACAACTGGCCAATGATTTAATCATGCCTTCAAGATGAAGTCTCCAAAAAGAAGAGGTTCAGGAAACTTCCAGATACTAATCATACAGATGCTCCCGGAGGGTGGCGTGCCCCTGCCGACATGCTTTGCCCTAAAAAGCCCTTCATCTGTATCCTTTGTAATATTTATAATAATCTGGTAAGTGGTAAAAAATATAGCCTCCTACCCTAACATCCTCAGCCCCATTTCCTTGTTCATCAAGCGAGACTTCAACCCTATTCCCAAGCTTCTAAATTCTGTTCCTCTTTTCCCTCGTTTTTTTTTTCCCGTCAAACTCCCAGTCTCTTTGCAAATCCCAGACCTCCTACCTCAGCCATAAATACTGTCCTATGTGTTTCTAACAGATAAAGGCTTTGTTCCACCCCTCTTTAGGGCCTTCCTCACAGCATCCTCTTCTTCAGTTTGACTAAACATGCCGCCAAAGTATTCATGGCGAGCAGACCAGGAACACACAGTCCTTAGGAGCCCTGCTGGGGGCCAGGCCTGTGCTGGCCAGGAGGATACAGGGACTATCAGACCAGCTCTTGCCCAGTTCCAGTCTAAAGGGTGCCTACACTTCCGCACCTCGCCCCAAACATCCATACATTTGCTTAGGTCACCCTGGCAGAGGCCATGGAGGGATGTCTCCATTCTGATGTCCCCCAAGCCCTCAAGATCTCTCCCACTCCACAACCCTGCCCTTTTACATTGTTCCCTGTCTCAGGCGTCTGAGCCAGAAAGCCAGGTAATCTTGCATTCTGCTCCAGCCCTCCACCTCCCCACGCACTCAGAAGCAATCACCAGGTCCTGGCAGTTCTAACTGCCTGTTCTGTTCTATGGCTTCCTGCCCCCTCTGGGGCCCTGCCTCAACCCATTCTCCAATCTGAAAGGAGAGCACCCTTTCTGAAGCAGATCTGTTCCTGTCACCTCCTGCAGCAAACACTTGAGTGACTTCATTCCTGTCCACATAGTCTAGACTCCCTTGCGAGGTTTATGAGGCCCTTTGTGAGCAGCGTCTAGCGGTCAGTGGCCTGAACCACGCCACACCATTCAGAGCAGGCTGGCCTCCTCGCCCCCAGGACTTCACTCACTTGCTACTCCCTTCGCTGGGCCCACGCTTCCTTCCAATAATTTCTCCAGGAACCCTTCCTGGTAAGCTGTCCCTTTGGGAACTCAGAGACCCAGAGAGCCCTGTACTCCCACCGTCATGGTGGTGCCTCTCTTGTTTGCTCATCTCAATCTCCCATTAGACTGAGGTTTCTAGAGGAGGGACTATCCTTGGGTCATCATTATGTCACTGGAACCTGCTATGGGGCTCAGCACACCTGGGAAGCCTGTCACATCGAGTGGTGCGTAGCCTCTGCAGGGGTGCTGAGAAAACTGATGACGTTGCTCTGCCTGGCACAGGGCCGGCTCTGTGCACCACCCTTGCAGGTCATTCATTCTGGCGTTTGGGGGCCCAGAGTGGCCCTGGCACTCAGCAGGTGGCTTCGCTGTTGCCAACAATGACATTCTCACCATCCTATTGGAGAAAGCTACACTCCCCACGGCAGCATCTGCTTTCCCTTTCCGGAGTCTGTAAGATGGCACGCATCCAGAACAGAATTCAAATTTTCTGCTCCTAGAGTGCGCCAGGCCTTGTCCTGATCCTCTCCCCATACTCCCTTCACCCAAGCCCTCCCCCGCCAGCAGGAGGACTCAGGGCCCAGGCAGAGGGCAGGGACAGGCTGGAGGCCCTGAGGGCTGAGGCCGAGGGACTGATCCTTCAGGCTAGTTGGACAGGCTTCTCCCAGTGGCGGGAGGCGCGGGGGCAGGGGAGAGGGCGGGACAGAGGCAGCTCAGTGGACTAAGCCAAGCTAGGGGACGAGAGAGGACACACGCGGAGAGGAACGAAATAGAGCCAGGGCCAAGAGGAGAGGAAGGAGACGAACAAAAGGCAGCCAGGACGACAGAGGACACGGAGAGGCTGGGCAGAGCCGGGACGGAACGAGCCGCGGCGCGAAAGGAGCGACAGCCAGGGGAACAAGAGCGCGCCCAGCTGGCGGTGGAGGGAAGCCACAGCGCGCCCGAAGCGGGCGACGCAGACCCGGGAGGAACTGGGAGGGACTGAAGGAAGGCTGAGGCGGTGTGACAGCCCCGCGGAGAGGCGAGCGGAGGAAGCCCCCTCCTGTCTGCCCCTCCGTCCGGGGCCCGTACTCACCCTCAGCAGGCCAGGCCTTGGGGACCCGGGCGCGGGTGAGGCCAGGTCCATCATCCCAGCCTGTGACTGTCACTGCGCGGCCTGCCCCGGGCAGGTAACTGCGGCCAGCGGAAGTGCACCTGGCTGCCCACCCCGCCTCCCCAGGGCTGCCGGATCCTGGCGGGATTGGCTTGAGCTGAGCAGGGTTTGCGGTGAGACCTTACGCAAGGCCCTCTCTGGCCTCTGGCTCCCAAACGGTCAACTAGGGGAGGGAGAGGGAATTGACATTGATAACCATGGATTTTCTACTTCTGCAGTCCTAGTGGGAGAGAGAGCTGCCGGGCCCATTTTACAGAGCAGTAAAGCCAGCCTGAAAGAGATAGTGTTAAAAACTAAAATCGGAGGCACAAATATAAAGAGTTGGGGGGCGGCGGGGGAGGAGTCCCAGATCCAGGGGCTTGAAATATGCAAGCGCATTTGTCTGCCCAGAATCCCAGGAGAGTAAAGGGATGGCAGTGAGGCCATCCCCATGGCGAGTGATTTCTCACTTTCAGTCTCTCTGTCTCTGCCTAGTGGTTAAAAAAGCTAGATCCCACATGGTCCAGTCCCGGACCTAATAGCTTGCTTTCTCATGCTCTCTGTCTTGGTCTCTCTCTGATCAAATTAAAATAATAATAATAATAAATTAAATTAATTTTTAAAATAGATAAGCAAATAAATAAAATAAAATGCAGATGGGCCAGCCTGTAGCACAGTACTTAAGGCAGCTGGATCCCACATAGCCTACTGCATGGTTCAATTCCCAGATCTGGGAGCTTGAGGAGCACACTGAGTGTGTGTACATATGTGCCCAAAATCCTAAAAGAAGGGAGAAATGGAGGAGGAGGGACCACTGTGTGGCCATCCCCCAGGGGTGCTTTCCTACTTTCTCTGTCTCTCAGGTGAGTGCAAATCAGTGGATGAATGGCTACACTGAATGTGGCCTCTCCACACATCGGAATATTATTCCGCCTTAGAGAGAAAGGAACTCTGACATATGCTATAGTACAGATGACCCTCAAGGACAATATACCAAGTTATTTATTTATTTATTTTGTAGGTGAATGTCTCCAGGAAGAGACAGAGAGACAGAGAAAATGAGAAATTAGTCCCCATGGGTGACCATGCTGCAATCTATCTCCTCCTTCTCCCCTCTCAGGATTTTGGGCACCCATGCGTATGTGCCCAGCGTGTTTTTCAAGTCACTGGATTTGGAACTCAGTTCCACAAAGTCAGCCATGTGAGATCCAGCCACCCTAACCACCACACCACTGTCGGGCCCTGAATTAAGCCAGGTACAAAAAGATTAATACTGTGCAAATCCACTGATATGAAGTCTAAAGTAGCACATTATGTACAAACCAACTTGGAGTGGTGTTTAGCAGGGACTGGGGGGTAGTGAAAAGGGGGGCCGTTATTTAAGGGCTGCCGATTTTCAGATTTGCAGTGTATTTTCAAAGTTGGCTTTTTTTTTTTTTTTTTTTTTTCCATCGGGCACGGGTGCTCAGGTTGAAAAGCTGACCTAATCCCAAATGCCCTGTACTTGTCTTACAATATTGCCTATTCTTCTTCTGTTTTTAACTTTTTTTTTTTTTTAAGATTTTAATTTAATTTTTAGTTTGCTATAGGATCCCTGCACAAAGAAATCTGTGGAAGTCAAGGACCATTTGATATATATATAAATATGTACTTTTAAAGTTTTTTTTGCCATAGAGCACGTGTGCTCACCAGAGAGAAAGAGAAAGAGACAGTGAGAAGGAAAGTGAGAAATCACTCCCTCCTCCACCTCCCAGGGGTGGCTACACCACAATTCCTTCTCCTCTACTCTCTGGGACTTGGGGTAGGCACGCACCTGCTACCAGTGTGATTTTCAAGCTGCTAGGTCTAGGACTCGAACTGTGGTCTGCCATGTGGGAGTCCAGCACCTTAACCACTATGCCACCTTCAGGACCATTTCAATTCCAAGACCTCAAGGAAACTTAAGCCTGAGACTTCGGTTTTGCCCTACACCCATCAGGGTTATCATCTCCAAGGCATGTTTTAGTTTACAGTAAACAAACTGAGTTGGGAGTGTACATTTTTCTTTTCTTTTAATTTGCCAGAGGGCCCATGCACTAGTAGGGTGGGTTGAGTTCTGGAGATCTGTTTCACAGCAATGCAAAAACACTCATCGCTATTGTACTGTTCACTGAAAATTGGTTAAGATAGAGCAAGACGGAGTTGGTGGTTGGCGTGGTGGTTGGGGGCACTGGATTCCCCCACATGTCCTACTGTGGTTCAAGTCCTGAACCTGGTGGCTTGCTCTCTCATTATACCTCTCTCTTTCTCTGGTTACATTCAAAATAAATACCTGAATAGAATTAAATAAATAGTTCTTAAAAAAAAAAAAAAAAAAAGATGGGGCCAGCAGGGGACATGGTGGGTAAGATGCATGACCAGCATGCCCAGCCATAGTTTGAGTCTGGGACTTGGTGACTTGCTTCCTCACTTCCCTTCTCTCTTTGTTTTTCTCTGGTCAAATACAAAAAAAAAAAAAAAGATGAATAAAATTTAATTAGATAATTCTTTGAAAAAAAAGTGGTTGGGACCAGCACTTAGCATAATGGCTATGTTGCTGGACTCCCATGTAGTTGACCACGGTTTGAGTCCCGGACCCGATGGCTTAAACTCACGCCGGACGCATATGCGTGTGTGCCCAAGATCCCGAGAGGAGAGTGGAGGAGAAGGGATTGTGGTGTGGCCATTCCTGGTGGGGGGGTATTTCTGGCTTTCTATCTCTCTGTCTCTGTCTTTTCCGGCTTTCTATCCCTCTGTCTCTGTTTTTCTGGCAAGAGCACGCGCCCTATAACAAAAACCTCTCAAAAAAAAAAAAGTGGTTAAGACGGTGAATTGTATTTTATGTAGTTTTCATCACAATAAAAAAAAGAAATATTGACTCTTGTTCATGACCTGTACTCAAGTTAATAAAATAATGGTAGAGAAAAAAATCAAGATTAACACTCTGGAGTGAGACAACTGGGAATGGAACCCGGCCCTTGCCATTTATCAGCGGTGTAATTAATCATCCATTACTATTCTCGGAGCCCAAACTGACTCGTTCATAAAATATTTGTGAGTACTTACTTGGCTGAGTTGTTGTGAGAATTAAATTAAATGAAATAATTAGAGCGTTTCCCAGATTTCTTCCATGGTAAGACTTGCCTGGAGCACTTGTTCAGCTCCATTCTGGGGCCCTCCCTCCAGAGCACTGAAGCTGAGTCCCGAAGGAAGGGCCTGGGAGTCCCATATTTAAGGAGAACTGTGTTATCTTTGAAACTGGAGGAACACTATAATAAAGCGTTCGGGGCAGTTCCTGAAGCTGGGCTCTGTAAACGTCAGTGTCCATTCCCTTAGACGCCACGGCACAGCTCATCCCAGCCTCACCCTATCACATGGGTTGTCATTCATTTATTCAGACAAGACTCATTGGCACTGGGTCAGCCAGCAGTGTGGTGGTTCAGGCAGCTGGATCCCACATGACTGACCACACAGGTCAAGTCCCAGGCCTGGCGGCTTGAGAAACACTCCAGGAGTGTGTATTTGCATGCCCAATATCCTGAAAGGAGGGAGAGATGGAGAAGGGATTGCGGTATGACCAGTCCTCATAGTGGGTGCTCTCTACTTTCTCTCGCTCCTCCCCCAACCCACCCTACTAGTGCACGGGCCCTCTGGAAAATTAAAAGAAAAGAAAAATGTACGCTCCTAACCCAGTTTGTTTATTGTAAACTAAAACATGCCTTGGAGATGATAACCCTGATGGGTGTAGGGCAAAACCGAAGTCTCAGGCTTAAGTTTCCTTGAGGTCTTGGAATTGAAATGGTCCTGAAGGTGGCATAGTGGTTAAGGTGCTGGACTCCCACATGGCAGACCACAGTTCGAGTCCTAGACCTATCAGGTTGAAAATCACACTGGTAGCAGGTGCGTGCCTACCCCAAGTCCCAGAGAGTAGAGGAGAAGGAATTGTGGTGTAGCCACCCCTGGGAGGTGGAGGAGGGAGTGATTTCTCACTTTCCTTCTCACTGTCTCTTTCTCTTTCTCTCTGGTGAGCACACGTGCTCTATGGCAAAAAAAACTTTAAAAGTACATATTTATATATATATCAAATGGTCCTTGACTTCCACAGATTTCTTTGTGCAGGGATCCTATAGCAAACTAAAAATTAAATTAAAATCTTAAAAAAAAAAAAAAGTTAAAAACAGAAGAAGATTAGGCAATATTGTAAGACAAGTACAGGGCATTTGGGATTAGGTCAGCTTTTCAACCTGGGAGTTTGAAAAGGCTTCACGAGAGATCAGCAGACGGCGCAATGATTACATCACTGGACTCCCACGTAATCTACCACGGTTTGAGTCCTAGACCCGACAGCTCAAAACTCATGGCGGGCACGTGTGCATGTGTGCCCAAAATCTCAAGGGGAGCATGGAGGTGAAGAGGATTGGGGTGTGGCCATCTCCTCTGGGGGGTGATTTCTCACTTTCTGTCTCTCTGTCTCTCCAGCACGTGTATGTATACTATACCAAAAAATATCTCTAAAATGAAAAAAAAAAAAACAGTATTTATTAATGAAAAGGCCCCATGGGAGAAGTGGCATGGAGTAGAGTCTTGATGAGGGAGGGATTAATTAGAAAGATGCCCGCAGAGGGTTCCTCCCATCAGAGAGGTCAGCTGCTGAGAAAAGGAGGGAAAGGGGAGGAAATCTAACCCTGGATCCAAGGACCCGCAGTGCACAGATCCTCGTTCCAGTCCTCTAAGCTGCTAGGCTCGCTCTCCAGATGGGGACACCCAGCTCAGAGAAGTTACAGAAATAGCTCAAACAGCTGGAACTGGGCAGAGCCACGTCTGGACTTGTCGTCAGCACCTGAGGGCTGTCTTTCTGTGACTATGCAGAATTGTTTTCTAACTGGGCACAGTGTGCACCTTAAACACTGGCTTCCAGTGGGACCGAGCCGTGGAGAGGAAGCCGTGGCTGAGTGTCAGGGAAGGGGAGCATCGCGGGGGTCCACACAGCACCTTACCCACTTCCCTGAGCATAGTCCAACTCCTCCCAGAGGGCTGAGCCATTGCAAGGGCCAA